GGGGCACAGTTCAGCTTGAAGGCCATTGGATTTGAGTGAGGATGACACCCATGGGATATGGTGTATGCCAGGCTGTAGGGAGTATCTGGGACCTGGGAAATAAACAAGGAGTAAGAGATAAAGGAAGAAAACTAGGAAGGGGAGCCTGCTCGTGCCTTTAGTGCTGGCATCTGCATTATGTTTTCAGTAGGAAGTACGCTCTGTGGTCTGAAGATAAGCAGTCCTCCAACAGGGCCAGTCACTCACACTGAAGAACAAGAGTCCTGTACTTACAGGGGTTTGAATGAGCAGGGGAAACAGCTTTAGGAAAATCCATTACCACCACAAAGCAGTACGTCTGCCAACAGGCCTCCATTTCCTTTCCTCTGCAGACAAGCTCAGCACAAATAAATGAGACCGTCATGTCTTGCTGTTAGGTGGCGTTGACCTTTGTTAACACCCCTGCGCTTAGTGATTTGCATGGATTATCTAATGAATGATTCTTACTACAACTCTTTGAAGAAGGTTCTGTTGTCGCCCAATTTTACATTCATGAACGTGAGGCTCTGGAAGACCTGCCAGTGTAGTGAAGTCAGGATTTGTTAGTTCATTGCTTGCATTATACCGCCTCTTTCTTACGGATGTGGAAAAACTCTAAGACAGTGGTTACCTACTCTGCTACCAGGGCCAGCTTGCTTTGGTGTTAGAGCATTTCAGCTCCCTAGAGGTTCTTCAAATGAAAGTTTTCTGGGTTCGTTTTGACTCCCTCATCATTTGGGTGTGATGAGCCTTATTCCCCCAAAGGATTGTTTTTTTAAAAAAGTATGACAACCCCATTTTCCTTGTATGTTTGGTTCTAAGTTGCACAGAAACAAAGTAAGTCGTTTCGGTCCAGTGGATGCACCCTAACGGGCCTTAAATGAACTGAGAGTGAGGCTTCCCTACAGCCCTGCACCTCACACTGCCCTTCATGGAACTGACAAGCACCGCTCCCACACTCACTATTGTGAGGGTTAATTCGTATTTTTAAGTGCTCTAGGGCCTCCATTGGAAAACCTGGTCCACATGCCACCACCTGTATCTTAAGATGAGAATGGACGTTCGTGTGTGTCATTTATTCTAACAAATGTACATGGTATGTCAAAAGTAGGTTTACAGTTACCAGCACATGAAGCGGAGTTTATTTTTGTATTATTATTGTATTATATTCCATACAGACAACTGTAAACCTACTTTTGCCCCATCCTGTATTTTAAGCTCCAATTATGTGCCCAGTTTAGGAGTGTAATGAATGAAACATACAGTGGGGCCTTGACTTACGAGTGTCCCGACTAACGAGTTTTTTGAGATACCAGCTGTCTCTCAGCCGATTTTTTGCATTGAGTTGATACAGTAATTTGAGTTAACGAGCTCCTTAATGAGTTTAGTCTCGGAACGAATTACACTCGTAAGTCAAGGCCCCACTGTAATCCTAATCCCCTTCCCTTACAAAATGTGTGTTTTGTAGGTGGAAAGTGGAAAAGGCACCCATTAAAAGTGAGGGGAGCCAAAGGGTGAGAGTCAGCACTAGGCATAGCAGTGGTGTGAGTTGGGACCTTCATTTGGCAAAAAGCAAGTCCCAGATGGAGGAGACAGGGCCGCAGGACCCGGACCAGCCACCACTGGTGCACAGCGAACACGGAAGACTGACTTCAGCAGATTTCACAGTCTTCACCTTCTGCCCACCCCTCAGTCATAAAGTCCTTGGAAGAGAAGTTTGATTACATTCGTCCTGGTGAGGGAACAGTGCGCCCAGGGGCAGATCCTGAGAGCGAGTCGTTCGGAACTTGCCTTTTCTGCCCTTGGCTTGCACTGCAACACTTTTTCTTCAGTAGAAGGCAAAGCCTCCTGAGAGCTCAGTTTTGGGAATGTTTATATTCCTGAGACCAGAGTCGTGCTATAAATTTGGTCAGGAGAGAGGGCATGTTCATCTCTGCTCCTCAATGCCCGTATTCATGCTGCAAGGTCTTCCCATGGGGGGGGGGGGGGGGTGAAGTAGATGACATCTCCCCTGGGCCTTCTGTCAAACCAAGACCTGCATGTGCTGGATGGAGGGTGCTCCAGATCCTGGTGGTCTGTGAGGTCCGAAAGGTTGGTGACAGCTGCTCCAGAACACCTGAGAGTCCGGGAGCTGGGGGGTGTGTGTGTGGCGGGGGGCAGGGGCAGGTGGCAGGCACACAATAGCCATTCCAAGTGGATGGCTCAGTGGAAGGAATGTGCCTCAGCAGCACCTTCTAATTGCTCTTTCAGGCCCACTGTCACTGTCTTTACTGTTATTTACCTATATATTAAACTAGCTTAAAATATTATGTAATACATTTATTTAAAGGAAGCTATATCACTACAAAATGAAATTACTTTAAATCATGGTTTGGTGGGCAGTAAGAAAATACTTTTATTGTACATCACCTCCCCAGCCAGTCTCTGGGATGCCTGCTGTAGGGGAAGCTTCTCTGACGATGACCGAGGCCATTGCAGCAGCAGCAAGCCTCATCATCCTGATTGTACCACACAGGCTGCACCCGGCAGGTGCTGGTGACTAAGCTTGGGGCTGCATGTATCGGGTACGATTTTAAGAAAATAGGCCCCTTTCCAGTCACAGTTTCTTCCATTCACACTTCATGTCTTATTTCTTCTTATTCTGGGATTTGGGATTAAGGAGGTGAAAAGAAGCAGAGTTTAAAGAAATATCTATCTTCTATATATCTTTTATACTAATAAAAGAGTAATATGCTAATTAGACCGGGAGACCTTCTGGACAAAGCCTGGGGCTTGGCCATCCTGCAAACCGCCCCCAGCAGGGACCCTCGCCCCATCAGGAGGCTGGCTGGCCTGCAAATGGCCCCAGGCCCCTCGCCCAGGCCACCTGCTCCCCAGCGGGGACCCCCACCCCGATGGCGTGGCCAGCCTGCAAACCCCTGGTGGCCCCTCGCCCAGGCCGGCCCTGTCCCCCAGCGGGGTCCCCCCACCCCGATTGGGGTGTGGCTGGCCTGTAAACTGCCCCAGGCTCCTCACCCAGGCTGGCCCCATCCTGATCTGGGACCCCCTTCAGGGCAGACCAGCCAGCCCCCACCCATGCACCAGGCCTCTATACTAATAAAAGGGTAATATGCTAATTAGACCGGACGTCCTTCTGGACAAAGCCATGATGGTGAGGCCAAGGCAGAGGCAGTTAGGGGTGATTAGGCTGGTGGGGGAGAGCAGTTAAGGGGGATCAGGCTGGCAGGCAGGTGAGCAGTTAGGAGCCAGCAGTCCCAGATTGCAAGAGGGATGTCTGACTGCTGGTTTAGGCCGGGATTGGGCCTAAACTGGCAGTGAAGACATCCCCTGAGGTGTCCTGGATTAGAGAGGGTGCAGGCCGGGCTGAGGGACATCCCCCTCCCGTGCATGAATTTCATGCACCGGGCCTCTGGTATATATATAAATATATAAATATATATATATATATATATATATATATATATATATATTATGCAAAG